TGCATCAATTTTACATTTGTATAAAAAAAATTGTTATAGCAAAAAAAAATTATAGTGTTCAAAAGTTTGGGGTTAGCAAAGATGACAGTAAAGATATATTTATAATGATACAAAAAATTGGTTTTGACTAAATTTTGTTATTTTAAACTTTCTATTCATCAAATAATCCTGAAGAATAAAAGATTTATCAGGGTTTACACAAAAAAAGTAACATTGATAATAATGAGAAATGTTTATTGAGCACCAATTCAGCATATTCAATTCATATTCAATGCATATTCAATTCATGTGACACTGAAGAATGAGTAATGATGCTGAAAATTCAGCTTTGCCATCACAGGAATAAATTACATTTAAAAAAATATTAAAACAGAAACTAGTTATTTTAAATTGTAATAATATTTCACAGTATTACTGTTTGTACTGTATTTTGATCAAATAAATACAGCCTTAGTGAGCATAATCATACTGACCCCAAACTCTTGAATGGTAGTTTATATATAATCTTAAATATTTCGTTTTCATATCCAGTAATCTGAAATAGTTCATATTAATTATACATCATAACATTTCTTTTTGAGCATTTTGAAAAATGTAAAACACTTCACTTCTTTACTTTGTTTATTTTCAGATCTAAATTAGATTTTGAATCCCAGGTTTTCAGTGTGGCCTCAAACTTTTGGGACACACTGTATGTTGTTGTTCCTTGTTTCTTGGATTTGGGTAAACTCTGTCCTGACAAACTCCTCCTTCTTTTATATAATATTTTGCTCAGTAAATATACCCACCCTAGGAAAAACTTGGACATTGATGATGACAGTTATTATGCAAGTCTTAAAGGAAACTTAATATTCAAACAATTATTTGTGAGAATTTGGCCTTTACTTTTTTTCTTTTTTTCTTTTTTTATTGAGCCAAAACTTACAACATAATCCCAGCTAACAGAGCAATCATCACAGAAAGATGATGTATTTCGGCTTTTGGAATAAAATGTAAATCAGCTGATCAGATGGAGGATTTTTTGGCCTTCATTTAGAAGAAGATTACTTCATTAATGACTGATGTTGCCAATCTATCTACCCATACTTTGTCAGCATGAGTTTATTTAGGTACTCAAGCACTAATTGAATGTCATGGGATAGTACACCGCAGCTCCGTAACATTTCACTTGCAAAAGCAGTGTCTTTAATTGTGCATGCATGCAGTCTGACCAGGAGGAAGTGACATGCTGTCCTCCTGTGTGCTTGGTGACACTAGAAGGTAGACGTCATCTTAGGTGAAGCAATGACTTATTCAACAATGAATGTCTTTAATACATTATAGTCAAGTGGATAACAGGGTTAAATAACACTTTTAGAGTTTATAGCCTCCTCATTTTCCCAACCCTCATACTGCACCTGCCTGATCCTTGGATCAAATTCAACACAAATTGAAAACTCATTTTAAAACTTCTTGAACTCTGTTTTTTCTTCTTCTTTTTTTTGTAGTCCCAAAGTGCATTGTGATTTAAAAAATATATATATTTCTGCTAAATGTCCCCTTTTTCAATCAAATATTTTCATATAAAAATACATTTTATATAAAATCATATATTTTCATATAATATAGAATTTTATTTTACTGTGGCCCTACAAGTTTGATTAAACCATCAAAATATGAGAAAAATATTTTATATTTTTTAAATATTTTAAATATGAAGGAAGAACTAAACACTAAACTTGGTGAAAGTAATTATCTGACAAAATTATTTAGGGGAAAAAATCAAGCTACAGGTTTTATTTTACTGTGCAAAAAAAAAAAAAAAGTAAACAATGTCTACAACATAATCAGTTGCTAATATTTCATTGGTTCTCTCTTGCATGTGTTCATAATTTCTTTGTATTAGAGCCTAGCCAAAAGTCTAATCTGCACTATTTATCATGTTTCATTGTGTTGTTACACATAAAACAATTGACTTCAAGCACAACTACGCAATATGCTTACAAAATCTTTTACACATTTGTAATAATATTTGACATAAAAGGGTGAAGATGTCAATTTCCATAGGCCGGACATCACTTTTGGCCACTACTGTATATAAAACTTGGACATTGATGACAATAGTTGGGCGTCTAAAAGGAAACTAAAGATTGAAACAATTATTTGTGAGAATTTGACCTTTACTTTTTTTTACTAAGCCAAAACTTACAACATAATCGCAGCTAACAGAGCAATCATCACAGAAAGATGATGTATTTTGGCTTTTGGCAAAAACCATTTCTATAACATAAAATGAAATCAGTTGATCAGATGGGAGAATTATTTATTTATTTATTTATTTATTTTTGCCTATATAAGGAGGATCAGTGCCTTCATTAATGACTGATGTAGCCAATCTATCGACTTGTGCTTTGTCAGCATGAGTTTATTTAGGTACTTTGCAAACTCAAGCACTTCTTGAATTTCATGTTATAGTACACAGCAGCTCCCTAACACTTCATTGGCAAAAGCAGTATATGTAACAATACTATATATTAATATATTTTTAATTTTCGTTTTTTAAGATATCAAATAATGCCATAAACAGAGAAGAAATATTATTATTTTAAAGCACTTTTCTTGAAATTGTCCCAGCCAATGTTCTAATATCAAAAACGACTGTATTTACAGCATAGGCTATTCATCAGCAAAAACAGGTCAAAATTGACCCAAGGACACAAGAAGGGTTTAGAATCAATTTTAAACAACTTGTATTAGCATGCAGAAGTGTATGTGAGATGTTGTCTGCTCTGGCTGACTGGTTTCTGGAGGAGTTAAGTGTCTGAGCAGTGCTGTGGCGTCTGAGATACTGTGGAGCAGGCACAAAAGTGTTAAACACACACTGAGGAGCGAGTCCCAGCTGACCTCTCTCACACACTCCTGCTTTCCCTGTGGCTGTGGAGGTCCGTGCCAGGTCCCTGCTGAGTAACGACTGCAAACAGGGGCCGTAACTCAGGTCAGATGCTTTGTCAGCATCAATTTATTTAGGAACTACTCATGTGACACATTCAAGCACTTGTTCTTGAATTACTTGGAAATGCTTCGGCCTGCCAGCTACTTTTGAGCAAAGGCATGGCATGGCATGTCAAGTGGCCATGAATTTGGGACGATTATATTTGAACTGCGGGAAAATATGTTCCCAATAGATGTAAACTAAGTGAAAATCATTTAGTTTAGAATGTGTCCTCAGAGTTTGCTCATAAACATCTTTTAGTCATTCTGTAAGATACATAAACGCTGTAAACATTCATAAAAATGAATATTTGTTTGGTTTACAGCACAGCGACTCTATGTAGCTTTGTGTACTGAGCAGCCTGGACCCAGTTAGACTAATAGAGAATTTCATCATGAGAGAGCAGACAAGATTAGAAGGACTAAAACAAGTCGGCCAATACACATTTTCTTGTCAATCTATGGCTCAGACTGTGCAAGCTCAAACAAACAAATAGATGAATGGAGGCCTGTGGGTTGAGTTCACCATACCAGACAAAAAGAGCTGTTTCTGTTGTGACTGTACCGTTCCCGTCTGACGAGGAGATTCTTTCCTTTTCTCGCCTTTTGTAACATGTCTTAGACATTCCAAAGTGCTACAAAGCCTCTACTTCCTAATTGCAGAATATTGTTTACAGAGGGTTCATTGAGGGTTGGATTTAGTGTGCGGGCATGGCCCAACAGGAGAAAGGAACTGTCAAAGCAGTCTGACAAGAATGATAACAAACACACTTCTTTTCACATATATACGTTGCTTAACTTTATTCATGTACTCTTTTTCGTTATGAAATTCACTATAATTACATATAGTACAATACTGGCTATTATTTTCTACAAAAAAAAGATTGCATAAATAATTTAAATGATGAAATTGAAAAAATAAATATGCAGTTCATTCTTTGTAACAGTCTTTTGGTCAAAGAGAGAGAGTGGATCCATTCATCGAGGAGGATAACGCTCAATGAGACCACACAGGTACAGTATATACAATTTGCTATTCATGGCAAGTCTGCTTACATTATAAAAATCCCTTCCAGTTGCTATTTTAAATACACAATTGAAAAATAAGCAAATATTATCACCACTGAACAAAAAAAAAAAAAAAGAGCTGGGGAAGTAAAATGTTGAACAATTGGCATTGGCTTAATCTCTTTATCCTGTGTAAAATCAACATCCAGCCCACAATCTCAGAGTTTGGTTCACTTATTTGTCTCTTCTTTTTCCATTCAGATGACAGAAAGGATGGCACCTTTGTTGAAGACTTCAGTAATGGATGTAGGTAACCTGCTAGCGATTGCAATAGCTGAATATCCCCAAATGGTTTCCATTGAAGGAGGGTGCAGAAAGGTTTTTTGCCCGCGAGGAATTTTTGCAGATTCTTGCGCACATGTGGGCCTCTTTTTCGGGTGTTCTAATAAACAGGAACTGACCATGTCTAGAGGAAATGGCTTTTTATGACTCAAATCCTAAACACAGGAATGGAACTATTTGGTAATTAGGACAAGTCACAGGAATATCGTTTGCGGTTCTTGACCTCCGGGGACTTGGACCGTGGAGGGCTGACACAACTTTTCGAACTCTCCATAACGCGGCTCTAACTGCCAGTTCCGATCAGTTTCTTGTGGAAATGTGAAGTTGCAGAAACTCACATGGTGCCTGGCTCGGCTCCCCAGCCCGTCAAGAGCACTCATGGGCTGGTAAAATTGACCAAGGTTAAGAATTCTGGGCCTCAGCGATCTGTCAGCAGCGGCTTGTCTTTTGGGCCCGACACGGCTGGACGGTCAAATCATACGCTGCTCCAAGTCCCAAAAGAGGAGGACAAATCTGGTGCACAAACATTCACATGAGCGCTTGGTGGATTGGTTGAGCGCTCAGTGTGTTTGCCCGTATGTTAGCTTACCCTTTCAATGAACTTCAAACTTGAAATGAACTGCTTGGGTAAGAATATGTGGAGTTATTCCTCCTCCCTCAAAATATCATGAACTGTCACATTCCCTGAACTAATCTCACATAATTGTATACGTCTTTTCACTCAAGCATCCATTAGTCCACTGGCATTCTATGATCAAACTGGGACTATTTAGGCTCAAGAGCACATTCAAACAGTGAGATATCTGAAATACATTGGAAACTTCTTGGCATGCCAATAAGTTTGTTAAATGCTAATGTGTGTATTCCTTCCCTTAGATTGCAGTTTCTGAAATATGTGTGCGTATGTGTAAAGGTGTATTTGTATGTGAGCAAGAGAGAGTTTCTGTATCAGTTCAACTTTCCCCCTCAGTACGAATTGCTGTTGACTGGGGGCGCTTTGCTACGGTGCTTCTTATTGCGCCGTGGCTTCTTAGAGGGCAACTCCTTGACATCCGATTGGTTGTGATGGCGAGTGTAGCGTTTGCACTTGCAAGACGTGACTACTCGGATTTTGTATGTCCTGTTTGGTCCGTTCGGACACTGGAGTTGTATCCGCTGAGTGCGGGAGTGAGCTGGGATGCAGCGGTAATCAGAGGAGCTGCTTCTCCACCATTTTCCCCTTAGAATTGAGTTTGGCATGAGATGAGCTGGAAGGCATTGACCAGAACACACCAGTTCCTTCACAGGTTTGACACTGCGGCAAGATCCATCAGTAACGTAGCGGGTAGAACGCAGCTCCCGGCAGCTTAGTTCAGAGGCTCCTGGAAAAGAGACCAGAACAGATTAGTTAAATGTTTACAAAATGGTTTAAGGATGCATCTTAAATAAAACACAGCTACCAACGCTGGTATTTATTATAGACTGTGTGGCACACAGGGTTTTGGATTGTTCACAGCTATGATAAACAAAACAGATTTTATTTTTCATGTTTTGGTATAAACACAGGCATTAAGTAAATTTCCTAAAGTTGACTTTGTTGTGTTTTGTCGAGTTTCCCAGAAAAAATTAGCTTTGTGTCCAACTCGAGAGGAAATGCACGATCATAGTTTTTATATCGGCTCAATATGTTTTTGTCTTTGTATTTAATCTGGTTTGGATTTTGCCACTCATTTTTTGTGCTCTTGGTTGAGGCTGGAACTGATGAGAAACCCAATCAATTAGAAACCCACAGACACTAAACAACATACATTTACCAGATCGTTCTGATAAGTACAGAAAGGACCGAATACTTGTAAACTGGATCGAGAGACTTCTGTCTGGGTAAGAGCTAACATTTTTGCAGTAATCTTTTAATTTAATGTAATCTCCTCAAACAACATCGACAATGTCTTCATTTATTTTTCGCATTTTATGTGTCAGTTAAAAAGATGAAACTGAGAGTGAAAAGATCTATTTCCTTCTTCAGCTCCCCTCCTGGAGAAGAACAAAGGATTTATGTGTGTGATGAGTTCAGGTTCTGCCTCCCCTGATTCTCAGAAAATCTGATCTGATGTTTTATGAGGAGCTGGAGGAGAGCCAGAGGAAGATGAACATATCTCAACATGACCCCACACTGACCACCAGAGAAAATACACACGTCACCTCTTCAAGATCAGCACACGAGAGTGTGATTTCTTTCTCCACCCCATCCCACCCCCTGACTGGCGAGTGTAACATACATGCTTGGCTTGAAAACTGTTTCCTTATGCTGAAAAACAACATCATTTCAGGACTGTTCACTGACATAACTAGTTATTTGGAATAATCTTGCGTCTTTAGTTCACTTAACAAATTGCTCAATCCTTAATTATTTTTATAACCTATTATTGTGATAATTTCATTACTCTGTGTAATCTGGAGGGTTGCTTATTATTATTTTTGGAAGTAATCTGTGTATTTATTTAGCAATAAATTTAGACATTCCAATTACTCAAACACAAGGCTTTACTTTAGTCCAAAGTCTTGATTTGTGTTCTGGAAACAAGCTCCAAGGGTGTTTTCACAAGAGTCATCTTTAAAAGAACCAAACTAAGACCCCTGAAAAGGGCCAATTGTGAAAACACCCATCTTTTTCTTTTTTTCTGCTAATTATTACATCCACATATACAAACACACATTGTACATTGTTAGAACTACTGTTGGTTTGAATTCACAGTAGTTTTACTTTTCACAGATGGGAGTCATTCTCATGGCAATGCCCTGAAGAAATGACCCCTTAGAAAAACTTCTCACATTTTCAACTACCCTGAAACCATACTGTTGCAATTAGATGGTTATGGAAAGGCAGACCTTGTCTAATTATGTAAAATTGGGGATACAGCAACAAAAAAAAGTGTTGCTGAAGTTAGTGTATCATTTGGGCTGGTGAAAAGGTGGAGCGGCATCCGGCATGCATTCTTTCTGAATTTGAGCTTTTTATTTAAAAGCGGCACATCTATTTAGAGCCAGAATATCCAGTTTTGTGGAAGTTTATAATGATCCTATGCGTAGCCCATATACCTTACACTATAAAATACAGGGAGAATTTTTAAAGTCATTAGTTTAACAAATTACTGGAGCAAATATCATTATAGATTTGTTTACTTAGTCACCTTTTCAGTTGCTGATGTCTAATCCGTTTTAGATAACAAAACAGTTTAGGTCTCAAGATCTAGCTAGTGAAAATTATCTAATTATTATATTTGAGACTAAATTATTAATTTATTTAACTTGCAAACACGCAAACCCTCGCTAGCAGCAGCAAATTCCTGTTCAAATATTCAGATATATTTTACAATCTGTATTTATCTACATGAATATATAATCGCTATAATGTACTTTAGTGCTTTCTTAATCAAATAGCTTCAAATTCATTAAAGTCAAAATAACTAAGTTACATAATTTTATATCTGCATTGGGGGGTTTATTAACTTTAAAGAAAACATTTTAAAAATACATTTCTATTTGATTACGAAAGAGCTCAGAAAAAAAAGTCCATGTTAAGAATTGGAACATCTATACAGTATTATGTTTATGTTGGTATTGATCTATTTTAATAGACCTCAATACTGTAAATTAAAGATCTGTTTCTTGTTACTTACCATAAATGCGTGAGTTGGCTGATGACCTCCTTCCTCCGTTCTTAGCCCGGTTCATTGTGTTATTGTCAGAAAGTTGTATCTGCTCCTCGGGTTTATTCGTGTCCTCCGTGAATTCTGGTATAATTTCTGTAGCATCATTTTTTAAAGCCCTCCATCCGTGCGCAGCTGTGAAACATCCCTGTAGCAGCACCAGCAGCAACAGCCGCGCGCCGCAGTGCACGAGCGCTAGAGACACCTGCATACTGAAATAACGACACGTTCAGCGGGCAAACTCTGACCGGTTTTCTTCTCTTCGTGAGAGGCTTTTCTTTTTAAAGTACCACAGGTTTCGGGGGGGGGGGGGGGGGGGGGGGGGGGGGGGACAGATAATTTAGCGCTTACACGAAGTGGGAGGGATTTAGGCAAAGTAGCTCATTCAGAAACTGATAGGGAGGAAGGGGCACCCGCAGAAGTGTAAGGTCAACCTGGAGAGAGGAAAGTCATCTTTTTTTTCTTTTTTTTTTCTTCTTTTTTTTTTTTACCAAAAATGAGAGCGTGTCTTTACTGCTCTATTTCATCATGTGTCGTGTGCTGTTGTCTTCATTTCGAAAGATCACAAAAAATATAGGCCCTGCTACAGTCTGAATTTTGGACAGGCCTTTTCATTCTTTAAAAATTTAGGCCTATTTGCTTTGTGCTATTATATTATTTATAGCCTTCAATTATAGTTTTATTATTATTATTATTATTGTTATTTTGTTGTTGTTTTTTTGTGCAAACTATACAATGGCCTGAATGAGTCATTTACAAGTTTATATAGGCCTACTTTTTTTTGGAATTTTCCTATCTTTTCCTAAATTAGCCTATCTTTCAGCAGACACAGTCGGTTGATATTTCTCCCACGCAACACGAATTCTAACATAGCATACATGTTGTGACATTTAAACAGAATAGGCTACTAAAGTTTTTGCGATACATTTATGATAATAAATTGGGGCTAGAGATGCAATAAAGTAGGCTAGCTTGATCGCAATTGTAAACGTGTCTTGTGTTTTTTAGCATATTTGGCGACCTGGGAATTTTATGTGCTATGATGACTAAGTTTAATCATAACTGGAACTTTTGAAAACCTTATATAGGCTATAAGCAAGGACAACTTTTACTACCCCAATCCTCCTTTTCATTTGACTCTATTTTTGTGTTAATATTTTAGGGACACATTATCAGTCTGGCAGCCTGTAAATTAAAGACTACTATGAATAAGCAGTGGGACACGCACAAGATACAGATGCTTTATGTCACATAACTGTCACATCAGCGTTAAATGCATCGCTTTGTACAAACACTGCCCTCTTGAGGGAGCCCAAACAAGCAAAAACCTTGAAAGGATATTATTTCTCTTTCATTGCATACTGTAGGAAAACGTTCTGCTTCTCCTGTCTGTTGCATTGTTTCTGCATGAAATTCTTAAGCTAAGCAATTGTCAGTGTGCATGAGACTGGTTGAGCAATAACTTCTAATGCTACACTGATACATTGTGTCCGGCCAGTCTTTTAAGCTTAGAAACCACTTTGGCAGGATAGATGGAATTCTTCTGCGATCTATTGTGACTCTTCTTTTTGTCCTGTCATCATGAAGAAAAAGAAAGATCACAGTGTCCACCACAGGCCCAGTCTGATTGTAGCCTACACTCTTTCCCTGTTATTCACTAGCTGTTTTTATACCTCTTTGGGTTTGTGCACAGAAAACACAGTCTCCAGGCATGCTTTATCAAGATAGCAGCTTGAGCATAAATAACACTTAGATGTGTTCCAGATTTACAAGGGCTGCCAGCAAAAGATATTTGTATAAAGAAGGAAAAAAGGGCAACACTATGTCAAAGCCACATAAACAAAGCATTTTACTCATCTGGACTGACAGGGCTAGACTCTCAATGCATGAAATGCAAACATACTAACTTGCAGCTGAGCATTAAAAGTTTTCAGATAATGGAACAGAACAGGGTCAAAGTTGAGCAGAAACGTTAATCTTGCGAAAACAAAAAGTGCTCTCGGGCCCTGCTAATACGTTTTTATCACCAGATTCATGGTTAAATCTTGTAGGCTATAATAATAATTAATATTATTATTATTTGTTTTAAGTTAACAACATAAATATTGCTTCATATTTTGAATCTTAAACATTTATAATGGTGGCTCAAGTGTCACTAACATTTATTTACAAGATCTTACATGGGTCATAATAAAGTGTGAAAATGTTCTTTTGTATATGATAATCAGGGCAATTTTTCACACAAACTAGAGTCAGCAAAAAGCTTAGGAGATACTCTGAGGGATGTAGTCAGAACATTTCACAAAGCCTGATAAGAGGATACATATTAGTGTGTATGAATATAATATGTGGTAAATGTAGTTTGCACAAAACATTAGTGATTTCTACTTTCAAATGCGTAGATTACACCATTTCCAGCTGTCCTGGGAACTGAGGTCTCATTTAGAATTACAGCCCTGACAAATATTATTATAAATGAAGCATTTGCGCAATGTTACTGAAGAAAAACATTTATGGATCATATTTCATCTGTACAAGTACCGCTCCCCTGCAGCTTATGAACCTAGACAGTAAAACCTCACATCTCAATCTGCCAAGTCATTTCCATTTGTCATTAGTAGCACATTTTTCATGCTGGATATAGTCTGAAAATTTCACATAAATAGAAGCACATTAGGTGTTTAAATAAGCCATGACTAGCTGAATCATACTAAAAGCACTTCCAAGACTAAATCATGTTTTAAAATAGTTCATTTGAGTTTAAGAGTAGCGGAAACCTCAGCTGTGGTTTTACTGAGAGTCTCGGCAAACCTTGCTGACCGCTGGGTCCATGTGTTAACCACTCTATGTACTACAGAGCTGCCACAAGTGCAATTGTAAACAATGATCACCTAGCCAATATTTATCCACTGATTCTTACAAGATATGCACACAGACTGGTAGTGTTGCAGCTATGCATGGTGAGAAAAAGAACAAAATGCCAAGCCATTAAACTCATTCTGACGAGGTTATGAACAAATAGATTTGTGGGAGAAATATATCGGCAGTGATTCTTGTGAGAGAATATTATTGAGAAATATAGTACGTCATTGTTCTCTGGTTCCCTTTGTTACAATCCAGATTGCTAGTTTTCCAAAATTATTTATTTATTTAATCAAATCAGGTCCAAGGTTACTGGAAGTGAGAACAATGAACAATGTCAGAACAACGTCATTTCAGTGTCTTGAAATGATCAAGCAAGTTGGCATTGTCATTTACACACTGTCACCGTGATTTCGCCAAGTAAGAAGAAAGTAAGATATTTTGTTGATCCTGGAACAACATTCCTGTCTGAAAATTCAGTCTTAACCATATCCCTACCCCTGAACCTAAACCTACCCATAACTTAACCCTAAAATCAGAGGGAAATGATAGTTGAATAACACTGATGTATAAGCACCTAACCCTGGTTGTAAGTCTAAACTTGACATAAACTGTAAACATGTCCCTCAAATCTGATTGGTTGATTGAAATGTTGTTCCAGGGTCAACAAAGATGTTGATCAAGGCTAGAAATCATGTTCACCTTGTGGGTCATTATAGATAATCTTAAAGGAGAACTCCGGCGCAAAATGAACCTTTGGTCTAATTACACATTGTTACCTAGTCAACCGTTATCTGAGATTTGTTTTCATGATTATCGAATGTAAATAGTTTTATCTCTAAAAACAGTTTAGCCTATAAAGCTAGTATAACGCTAGTATATTGGGCATAGTGTAATGACAAATAAAAATCGCTTGTTAATACCACTAACAAGGCTCAAAATAGCCCCACACTAACACGGTAGCATAATGAGGGTCCCTACCTTCAAACCGAAGCATTGAGAACTTTGTCAGTGTCCAGACAGTTTAATAAGAAGATATTTTAAACATACAGTCAACTTCGCGTATACAGGCAGAAGCCATCTTTGAAATACAGTCTTTACCAGTCGATCTACGAACGCCGATCCAAGTGCGCTGGTGAGATGTGAACGAGCTATAAGTTGTGATAAGGTGAGTGCGAACAGCAGGCTTGGATCGGCGTTCGTAGATCGACTGGTAAAGGCTGTATTTCAAAGATGGCTTCTGCCTGTATACGTGAAGTTGACTGTATGTAAAAAATATCTTCTTATTAAACTGTCTGGACACTGACAAAGTTCTCAATGCTTCGGTTTGAAGGTAGGGACCCTCATTATGCTACCGTGTTAGTGTGGGGCTATTTTGAGCCTTGTTAGTGGTATTAACAAGCGATTTTTATTTGTCATTACACTATGCCCAATATACTAGCGTTATACTAGCTTTATAGGCTAAACTGTTTGTAGAGATAAAACTATTTACATTCGATAATCATGAAAACAAATCTCAGATAACGGTTGACTAGGTAACAATGTGTAATTAGACCAAAGGTTCATTTTGCGCCGGAGTTCTCCTTTAATGTAATGAATAAGTTTAGTGTGTATTAATACCTCAGCATTGTGCTTGTTATGGAAATAGCTTACTTCCTACTTGAAAAGATGCAACATATTGTGTATGTTGTAATCTTTGACGGAAAACTCAAAATATGTGGATCAGTAATTCACACGATATTTTGCAACAGTTTGTAAGAGCCGAATGCCATTTTCATGAGACATGAATCATTCTTTCATTGGGTGTTGACTTTCTGAGTGGAAGTGTCTCTGAATTTATTTGGAAACGTAAAGCGACTATTGAAATCTAAAGCAGATTTTTAATTGCAGAAACACACAATGATGATGTGCTCTTCTGATGGAGCGCCACCATTTCCCAGAATGCTCTGTAAAGGTGCGTTAATTATCCATAAAGGTATAAAAAGGCTCAGCTGCTGAGCATGCAGGAATTTATTTGGGTTCTTAGAGAGGGTGGGGGAAAAGGAAGTTATTTCAAGAGCACGTTTCAAAAAGCTCCACAAGTTTGCTTTTTTATGGGATCAATAAAACCAGATAACAAGCATGTGAAAATAATCTAGCTCTCTGGTATCTAATCCAATAAAGACTAATTATAAGCAGGACTAATAAACATGGTCATGCCACTGGCTGTCACGTGAAGATAGCTGATGATGGAGTGGCAGGAAAGATATTCCCACTGGCCACCCACCCTGAAGAGACTGTGCTGAGAAAATAAACCTGCTTTGGGAAGGGACAGGTTTCAGACACCTCACAGTGTGGACTTTCCTTCCTTCTGTTTTTTGTCAATGCTGTCGATTTGTCATGGACTAAGACCACAGATGTGTACGTAAATCCTACTTTGTGC